GCTGCGTTCAATCTCCGTCAGCGATCGCTCAAATTCCTCCGTAATGTTCACGGCCGTTGCTGTTGCTTGGGATATAGAAGCCACACTAGTCCCTACCAAAATCATGATGATGAATAACATACGGGTGAAGAAGAAAGTCATTGCTAATTCAAATCATGACACTTTCACAAAAAGTCTCAACTTCTTATATAACCACTAGCCACCGCGTGCATTAAAAAAAATATATAAACAATTTATCAGAGCCTAGTTTCGATCTAGGGACCTGTGGGTTATGGGCCCACCACGCTTCCGCTGCGCCACTCTGATTTGTTAATCATGTATTATTAACCAAGGTATAAGAACACAGCAGAAGCAATACCATATGCATGCAGTAGAAAACCTATTTATTTGCTACGTACGTCGTTAATTTCAGACCACATGCAAATAACAACAAACCCATCTCATGGGGTTTTGAAATCGAATTCTGATTTATCTAAATAAAGGAAGCGTCTAAGAACAAAAATCCTCAAATCACAACAATAAACACCTTGGGTTGCACAACACTCTTACTGAGTGTATACAGAAACATGTTCAATAGTGTGTAAATTTACGTTTGTTTTAATCGTTGTCGAATTGTTGTTGGAAGTTCTCTACTTGATAGAGAATACTGCAACACTCGAGCAATTTGTTATTAGTCATGCTTGCTCGGTCCTAAAAAAGAAGGTGAATTTAGGTTCAGGAAAGAGCGGTCAAAAATCATGCTTTAAACCAAGTTATGTATGAAGCCTTCTTCAACCATGAAGTTTGTATGCTTGGAGTAGGTGCAATGGGCAAATTGTTGTACTTAATGGCCTTTGATGTGTGTTTTTGAAAGTGTTGTTTACACAGCACACAAACCCTCTCTTTTCAACACCACCAAAAACGCAGTACAAATTCTTCTATACTTGAAGGCATCATGTGTCCCTAAGTTGGTGCAAAGCATGATCACTTGTCACTCTTTCCCCGACCTCTTCAATTCTCTTATACACTTTTTCCTTTCTCTATCAAGTGCAGGACAATTCCAACAACATTTTGACCATATCCTATAATTTTGAGGCAAAGATGGGAGTGGTATGCTCACTTGAGCATGATGTACACGACCTCTTTCAAACGTGGTTTTGACAATTGTCAAATTTCTTTAATATTCTTTTTCTTTTTTGTTTAAATTTTGTCAATTTTACTTGAATTTAATATAGGGTTCTTAAAAAATAGGCCCTTTTAACTCTTATATTCTAGACATAAACTCACCTATCTTTCGACCTTTATTCCAATAGTGCAGAAAAGACGCAACTTAGCTCCCAAGCAAGTTGTCATCATTGAAGCCGAGATTGACAAGCTCCTAGTTGTCATCTTCATTGAAGAAGTCTCCTACTCTAAATGATTGGCCAACAAGGAAAGTTGAGAGTGTGCGTGGACTACACTGGCCTCAACAAGGCATGCCCGAATGACAACTTTCAACTGCAAAGAATTAATCAGCTCGTAGATTCAACTTCTGGTAACCAACTGCTCAACTTCGCGGACGCCTGCTCCGGCAACAGTCAAATCATGATGCATGAAGACAACAAAGTAAATACCTCATTCATAATCGAAAGAGGTACCTACTACGTACTACAAAGTCATGCCCTTTGGGTTAAAGAACGCCGAAGTAACCTATCAGAGGCTTGTGAACAAGATTTTCAAGGAGTATATTGGCAAGACTATGGAGGTCTACGTAGATGACATGTTGGTCAAATCTCCCCAGCAAGCAGATCACATCAAGAACCTTGCCGAAGCCTTCACCTTACTCTAAAAATACTGGATGAAGTTGAATCCGAGCAAGTGCACATTTGGAGTCTTATCCAGCCGATTTTTGGGATACTTAGTCACCCAAAAAGGCATCGAATCACATCCCAATCAAATCAAGGTCATCGTCAACATGAAGTCGTCTGCCATAACAAAAGAGATACAAAGTCTGACGAGTAGAGAAGCCGCTCTCAACCAATTTCTTTCAAGATCCACTAACAAGTGTATGTCATTCTTCAAAGCCTTAACCAAAGGACAAAATGACAAGTCGGATGAAGAGTGCAAAGCAACCTTCCAAGATTTGAAGGCATATCTCACTTCACCTCAAAAAGTATAATAATTAGATTTATAGCTTAATTAGGTAACTAGCTTAGTTGGATCCTAGGCATCGTGTTTTTCTTATAAAAGTCAAAGTTTATTTATAAAAAAAAATACTATGATGGATTGTAGGTAAGAAAAAATGAGTTTCAAGAGAAAAAGCTAAATTTACTATTTTTGAGTCAGCCGTCAGCTTAGCTCTCAATCGAGAAGAGTTGGAGGCCCAACATCCAATATTCTACACATCAAAAGCTCTCATCAATGTAGAGACTCGGTAGCCGAAAATGGAGAAGCTCATTTTGGCCCTTGTCGTTTTCGCGAAAAAGCTAAGACCCTACTATCAAACTCACGGAATTATCATCATGGCATAATTTCCTTTGAGATCGATTCTTCACGGCCTCGACACTTTTCAACAACTCATGAAATAGGCTATCGAATTGACTCAAGATGAAATGGGCATAATGGGAATTTCATCCACGTCCTTTTTTTCTCAGCAAACGTTATTTATGGAAATATAAATGTCAAAAGTACATTAATTTTAAGGAGTTACTAGCAATGCTCCTAATGAAATAGGCCAAAAGCGTGCTAGGAATAGAACCACGCCAATTTGAAGCAAGGGGAGCAACCTCATAAAAAAAACTAATGGAAAGAAACCACTTTTTTAGGAACTTGGAGAGTGTTAGTAAAAGTAGGGGTTTAATTGCTATCTTTATAGAAAAATCATAATTTAATTCATGCCAATAAAAATCAAAATAAATGCATAAAATAAATCAAACCTTAATATAAAGAGAAGTTTAGAAAAATCTGAATATAGTTGAGTTTAGAACCTCATTCTATTTTCTTAAGACGAATTTGCTCCTCACTAGCGCTTCAAAGTTCCAATGGCAAACGTCACACTATTATACTCATAAAGACTCTAGTATGCAATGAATAAATTTCTAAAAGACTAGTTATCCTGGAATGGATTGAATGCCACGTGATGTAGTGGGCTTCTTTATTTATAGATGATGAAGAGCCATTTTTCAAAGTATGTGACTTAATTTGAAGAGGTAGATAAAGGCTACATCAATAAGCACGGAACATATGACAAATGAACATGTTTGGTAGATAACTGGTTATGAGAAAGTGCCTCCCATCGAAAAGGATCTAGCCAAGGTTGTGGTCTAGCAGGCCATCATAGTTGTTATTTCAGTCAGTGTAGGCCAAAACAGCGTCGTTTTGGCTCAGCCCAGCGAATTTTTTTGTTTTTAAAGACCTGGCCAAAATGACGTCGTTTTGGTCCAGGTCTTTTAAAAAAAAATTATAACAAATTTAAAACACCCCTCCGAACTTCAGCCTTTCCAAAACCCTCAAACCTAAATCCCCAATCTCCACCCCCAACCTTTAACCCTCTACCCCACCAAATCTTTAAGCCTCAGCTCCTCCATTGTTGCCACTGCCAGCAGCGCCACCGCCTCCAAAAGCTTGCCTCCGCTTCCACCACCTCACAATTCAACGCTAAAAAAAAAATTTGAACCTTTACACTATGACCCTATGAGATAAGATTCCTGGGTCCGTCCTTGGATGGGCTCAATATATTTTTTTTATAAATGAGTCTACAGAACAAGGCACGATTAATTAAATGGAATGACACAACATGACTTGAATAATTTAGTGGCACGATTTTAAACAAGTGGGGCTGATATGTCATGACGCATTTGATACCTCTACGTTGGACAATTATGGAGGATGGGATGAAACAATAACACACAACCAAAGATAATATTAGTCGTCTATATTGTACAAAAAATCCGTTAATAAAGAACGGTTAATTTCACTTTATTGCCACTTTACACCGTTGCACAGTGGTCAATCATCATTAATATCAAGTTGTGCCTTAGATTATCTCCAATCCAAATGGGGCTAAACTTAAATGTTTCCCCCTTCAAAATACAACTATTCATGTTTGATGTATTGCAGTAGCAAAGTCGTTTTGGTTTTGGTTTTGCACTTCCACAATTCAATTTCAGATTTACGTCTTTTTTCATCAATTGTTCAAACTTAAAGCAATAGCACTGACTAGAATGTTTAAAATATGTCGGCTCATGCGTAGTAAACCAATATATTGTATACTGAGACATAAGATAAAGTTGTGTTGATCATCACCGTGTGGAATGATTCATTTTTGTATTTCATTGTGTTGTTGAAACATGAATCACTTTAACTCATAAATTGAATCGAATTTTTGAGTGCTTTTAATCTTCGTTGTCTGAAATGTTGTTGGAAGTCTTCTACTTGGTAGAGGATACTGCAGCACTTTAACAATTTGTTCGGCATTTGGGTTCTAAAGGGAAGCTGAATAAGAGAATTGAAAAGATTCCGGAAAGAGCGGCAAAAGATCATGCTTTACACTAGCTTGTATTGTAGCTGATCAAGCATGGATAATAACTGAGTCAAAAATATGATGAAAAAATACCCTAATATATCAGAGCCTAGTTTCGATCTAGGGACCTGTGGGTTATGGGCCCACCACGCTTCCGCTGCGCCACTCTGATTTGTTGGTACTATTTTGTAATTTGGTCTATATGAAACCTTCTTTATTCTCTAAGAGGCTTCCCCAATAACAGAGGCACATGTTAGGCCTGCCACATATCCTATTGTGTCATTAGTTTCATATCACAGATAAATTTTTTACAAATTTGGTTATATACATAATCTTAGACATAATCTAATAAAGAAACACTATACCATTTAAAAATTATAAACACACTAAAAAAACCCAAATATCGACAATTGTACATTTTTTAATTTAATTAATAAGATGAAATACCTTTATTACCCTTTTAACATAAAATTGGAATTCTAATCTCTTTATCTTGCTTTGAAGCCAGAGCAGAACTCATTTCATGAGCTCTAGTCTCTCATCTTCATCTTCAACCCCAATTTTCAGTTTTTGTTCTTCCATTTCTTGTTTTGAAATAAACTTTCTCTTTGGACTTTTTGGATTGTGCGGATGTCTATGTCTCCTCTCTATTGCTGGCTCTGACACTTTTTCAAGGGACCAAGCCTCAGCTCGCCAAATCGGATCATCTCGATCTCTCCAAGTTCGTTCTCCTGTACTTTCTTCTTCATCTTTTTGTTTTTGCTTGTAGATTTGTGGACAAAGGTATGAGATTGAGATTATGATGGAATTTTACAGTGATATCAAAGGAACCTCAATCTCGACAAGTCGTCATCTCAGTGAAAACGACAACTGAGGACCTCATAGGTTGTTCCAAAGTACTGCACAACGCCAGCGACTCGTCATCTTCAGTTGTGGAGGAAGACAGGGATTTCGTCGCGTCGTCATCGTCGTCGTTTGGTTTGGACTTGAGATTTTTTATCTTTTGCTTCAATTATGTGTTTCTCTTCGAATTTTAGTTAATTTGAGGAATATATTTTAAGCTTTGATGATCAATTTATCTTTTGTTACTATTTAGGTTATGGATCTCATTTTTGTTTAAAAAATGCACTTCTATAACAGAGTATTAACAAGATAGTTCTATGACAAAGTATTGACAATGTACTTCTATGACAGAATATTAACATGTACTTCTATGACATAGACTACAAGATAGTTCTATGACATAGTATTAACAATGTACTTCTATGAAGAGCCCCTGCTTGGTTTTCACGAATTTTTTTATAATAAATTGTTTGGGTTTTTTAAAAAAAAATCTGCACTGGGCTTGTTTTGGGTTTTTTTTGTTTTTTTAGAGTTTTGTGTGGTGGGTTTTTTTTTTAAAGTTAATTAATGGCAATCATGTAATTTATAGGAACTTCAACACCAATTTTTTATGCAGTACATGGGTTTTGGGTGTGTTTCTAAAGTGCGTTCCATGTGAGGTTTTTTTTATATATAATTTCAGCCTCTATTTTAGGTATAATAGTGAAACTCCCTAATATTTTTGGCGAGAAAAAAAAAAGGCCATCTCAGTGCCTCACTCACTATTTTATAATAACATATCATAAATAAACACATTGATTTGTTTTGGGGGAGCTTCTATAATGAGGGATAAAAGTGAGGGGTTATAATGAGGGTGTTCAATCTAGATTGGACGACTATTAAGGAACCCCTCATTATAAGCCCTCATTTTTAACCCTCAGTATAGCCTCCACGGTGGTTTGGGTTGCGTTGCCCCAACAATTATACTTCAATGAAGATGGTTAGTTAGTTTAGTTACTAAATGGGACCATATATAGAGAAACTTGTCCAACATGTCCATGAATTGATAACAACCTTTGATGTGTTGGTTTAAGGTTTTAGGAGGAACAACAAAACCAAACTTATTCACCCAACAACTCATTGGCTACTAATTAAATCCATGGAATAACAAGTGGGCAGTGGGGCTAAAATCATCAAGTCCCTCCTAATGGAGGAGTTCTTGGATGGATCGGATAGGATCAAAATACTGAGAGAATTTGACTTTTATGAGGGTGATCAGATACAATGATCCGACCGGCAGGCACAAGAATTTCTCCTCAATCAGATCATTAAAAACTGCTTAATTATGGACCTCATTAGAGCTTTTGTCAGTCATTCAGGTTTTGTACTGATAGCTAAAGCCTAAATTGATGTCAAAGTTCAGTCAATATTGCACATATGGTTTGGATAGATAAATCCAAAATCTCTTAAGTTATGAATTAGGATAAAACTGTAAAATATATGGGTTTACTTTCCAAATTAAACAAATAGTATTGACTTATAATAAACTCCACCTTCTGGCTTCTGCACACACATCATCATTATTTTTACCAAAATTGTTCAGTAATTTCTTAAAGCAGGTCATTGCTCAAATGGGGTTTTCAACTCTTGATGACTTATCAAAGACATTGATTAATTGAGCTCAGTTTGTCATTTAAGCTAATTCCTTGAAGCTCAAGGTTAAGAGTCTCCCAATGCTTACTAAAGAAGAAGTATTCTAATATTCTCTATCCAAAGTACATGAGGCCAGATTTGGCAAATCAGACTGCTAAACACATAACAGACAGCTGCATCTTATCTGTTTTTTTTTTTGCATGCTCCTCTACCATGTATTAATTAATTCCATTTTCACCTCCAATTCAAACATGCAATTCCAACTCTACAAAAAGAATGCAATCCAAATCAAAACACACAGGAGGAGGAGGGCAGGTTCTTCTAGCTAGCTAATTATGCAAACCTCCAAATTGTAACATGCCTTATGATAATTTGGATGCCCTCTTGAAAGAGAAGTTCTTGACACCTGTCACAATCTGGTTGATTCATCCCCTGGTGGGCCCCACACTAGGAACCTAGCTCCATGCTAGCTTTAAAAATAGAACCATAATAAAGCATTTTGCACCAACCAGCATGGACAAGAGTGGCCATGGTGTTAAGAATTTTTTTGTGATGAGAGCCCTTGAAAAGGAAATGGCAGTTCATAGTTGGTTGAGGGGCTAGACATGCATTAGGACAAGAGTGGGTGTGTTTCCATAAGAAACAAAAGGAGAAGACAGATCAGGGGAAGAAAAAAAACAAAGAGAGTGGACATATAATTTCAACACTGTCAAAAGTAGCAATATATATGATTGGTCATATTCTTTATCAATTTTAATATATTTTTAAAGTTATATATCTTATAATTATGTTTAATGAAGTTCATATAATGCTATTCATGTTCAACTTTCTAAGGATAAATAAATAAAAAATTTAAGTCCACACCAGGTCCCAGGGGGGGAGAGAGAGAATGATGCTTTTGTACAGTATTTTTTCTTTAATTTTTCAGATTAATTTTGCTTAGGGAATAGGGGCATTGGACGATGGTGGTTGATGCCTTGGTGGATATATATTTCTAATTTGGTGTAAAGAGTTTAATAATAATGGCATGGGACCTATGCTTACATACATAACAGTAACTGGTGTGCTGAGATAAAGAACCTAAAGCATTGACTTCTATCAACCAATGTTTTAAAGATTGGAACTTCTCCAATCAGATCAAATTGCTTTTTTTTTACTATTTATTGTTCATGTCGTTCAACTTTATCCATGTGCTCAACCACAAAGGAAAATTGTGGTGGTTGGGTTTAGATTGGATTGCAGTGGAGTTCGTGCATGTTTTAATAAGTTTCATCTCTCTCGACGAGTTGTAAAACATAATATGTTAGATTGTTGTCTAATATATTTATAAGTTTGTTAAAGAGCAATTTTTGTCTAACTTTATAGTTAGATTGTTTCCTCTCTTTCTTCTTTCCTCATTTTCAGAGACAATTTTTTTTTTTTTCTATTTGTCTTTGTTTTGTTATGATTTTTCTCCAACTATCATAGACGTCTGTGTCTTGATGTCAAATCTCCATCTACGTTTTGGCGTTGGATCTTCATCACCATTCTTTTTGCGGTTTCTTTATGTTTAGAATAAGTCACATAAACTCTTTGGGTTCTCTGTGTAGTTTTCCTCTCTTTTTTGTGAAAGTTTTTCATCTCTCTTTTGTGAGAGTTTTATTTGTATTATTATGGCTTGATTTTTTCAAGTTTTATCTTTTTTTGATTATTTTGAGTTTGTCTATGCCAGAATTTATTCGATCATGCGTGATCGTTAGTGAAGGTGCACCAAATTGTCTTAATTTTGATGTTAGACCCCTCCGTTATTGTAATGGTCCTTTGTAGCTAGTGACTATTTTAGCTGAATTATAAATACAATCCTAAAATTTCTCCAAAAAAAATCTGTCTAATTTAATTGGAATAGTTCAACTCCGAGTCACCAAACATTGGATTTTTTGTGTAACAAAAATAATATAGAGATTACTATGTAAACAAAATGTTATGTCTTATTTGGATAGGATAAAGTGGTTAACAGCCCAGAATTTTTTTTATTTAAAAAAAGCAGAGATGAAAATAATGAGTTACCACAGTAAATATTATCTCTCAGTCACTGTAAAAAAAGAGTAAAACTATCTCTGGTCATATTTTGAAAACCAAAAGAAGTCAACGAAATGCCGTCATGCAATCGAACGGGCTCTATGCACCAACGCAAAACTCGGAGCCCTAATGGGCGGCGAAGATTAACCGAAGACCTCCCCTCGTCGTCGTTATCGTTAAACGACAGCACGGGGACGAGAGCACGTTGGTTCATATTTATCAAGAAATTAATTTCGCGCGGGTCCACATATCAGACCTAGACGAGACCACGTCGCTATCGCAACTCTACCCACAATAACGGCGTTCCGTCCACCTAGTCACTAACTCATGATCCACTCGCTCCCACTACCGGTGACCTTATAATTACTCGCCTTCACTTCCCCCAACCTCCTCTTCATCCCGGAAGCCCTTCGAAACTGCCAACTTAAGAAGCGGTTTTTCTGTTCTTATTATCTTCTTTTTTTCAAAGAAAGAAAAAAAAAAGTAAATGTTTGGTCCATTGGGCAACAGTTTTTTTTGTTTGCAGGTTCATTCATCTTGGATGCTATTTTAGCAGCACCATCAGTTCAGAGTCATCATAACATGTACGTTTCCACTGCTCTCTCTTTCTCTCTCTCTCTCTGTCTTCACTCATACCCTGCTGTTCCACATTTTACTTTGTGTTCTGAAAGAGTGAATTTTTAAATTGTTTTGGTCTCAGAGGCAGAGTTACACTAATTTTGGACTTGGGTTCACTCTAAAACCAGAGGACTTTGTTGGGTCAGATCTGAAACTGAAAGGAAATGGTGGGCAGGTAAGTTGAGCTCCTGGGTATTTTGGTTTTTCATTTTTACTTGTTTGTTGAAATGTTTCCCCATGTATAAATTTTGGGTTTCTGCTATTTTTGAAATTTGAACGGCAAAGTTTAAAGAAACAAAGTTACAAAGAACAAAGAACAAAAAGAAAGCTCGGTTTCTGGTGGTACATACTTTGCTTTTGCATAATAAAATAAGTTCCTTTTTGACTATAAACACGATATTCAAAGCCTGCAAGTTTCATTTTTTTATAGCAGAAATTTCTCAGAGTCACCTCTACTTTTTCTCGACAATAGTCTTGGAATCTGATTTTTTTCCTTTCTCTTTTCGCTTTACATTCTGTCTTTTGTATTTTTAACTTCTTTTTTTTTTTTTTTTTCTGTATTTGTTTGTGCATCTTCAGCCAAAACCCTGAAGGGCCAGAACCATGAAAAGAGAGAAACTTTGCAGAAACAGCTCGTTCTCTGCTTGAAGTGTTTGGGATTTTGGTAAGGGGAGAGTGAGGAAAATGGCAGGTCGTTGCATTCTTTATTGGATTTTCTTGCTGGGTTTGGTTTTCTTGCAAGGAAATGCAGACCCAGTTGAAGATAAGCAAGCATTGCTTGATTTTGTGAACAATCTCCCTCACTCCCGCTCTCTTAATTGGAATGAGAGCTCTCCTGTGTGTGACCACTGGACTGGAGTGACTTGTAGTGAGGATAAGTCTTATGTGATAGCCGTCCGATTGCCCGGCATTGGATTTACTGGCCAGATACCACCTTACACGCTTAGCCGCCTCTCAAGGCTGCAAATTTTGAGTCTTAGATCCAATGTGATAAATGGGCAGTTCCCTTCTGATTTCTTCAACCTCAAAAACTTGTCTTTCCTCTATCTCCAATTCAATAACTTCTCTGGGCCATTGCCCGGGGACTTCGCAGTTTGGAAGAACCTCACCATTGTCAATTTGTCTAACAATCACTTCAATGGGAGCATTCCTTATTCGCTTTCCAATTTGACTCAGCTTTCAGGCTTGAATCTTGCTAACAATTCACTTTCTGGTGAAATTCCTGATCTCGAATCAAGCAAGTTGCAGCAGCTAAACTTATCTAACAACAATCTCAATGGTAGTGTTCCCAAATCACTTCAGAGGTTTCCAAGGTCGGTTTTCGTGGGTAACAACATTTCTTTTGCTAGTTTCCCACCCAGTCTTCCTCCTGTTCTTCCACCCGCCCCTAAACCATATCCGAAATCTAAGAATGGTGGGAAGCTTGGTGAGACAGCATTATTAGGAATTATAGTTGCTGGTGCTGTTTTGGGCATTGTGGCGTTTGCATTTCTAATACTTGTTTTCTGCTCAAGAAGAAAAAAGGAAGATGGGCTTTCTGGAAAGTTGCACAAGGGAGAAATGTCACCGGAAAAAGTGATCTCAAGGAGTCAAGATGCGAATAATAAACTGGTTTTCTTTGAGGGCTGTCATTACGCATTTGATCTGGAGGATTTATTGAGGGCTTCTGCTGAGGTACTTGGAAAGGGGACATTTGGTACAGCATATAAGGCAATATTAGAAGATGCAACCGTTGTGGTGGTGAAGAGGTTGAAGGATGTAAATGTTGGGAAGCGGGACTTCGAGCAACATATGGAGATTGCTGGCAACATTAGGCATGAAAATGTGGTTGAACTGAAGGCATATTATTATTCCAAAGATGAGAAGCTAATGGTATATGATTACTACAGCCAGGGGAGCGTCTCTGCTTTGTTACATGGTATGTTACTATCTTCCATCCTTGATGAATGTTAACTTGATAACTAGCTGATTGTTGTACTTCTTATTTTGGAAGTTAATAACCTTTAGATCCTGTACATCATAGAAGTTGTCTGGTTATAAGTAGTCATCTGTAGCTAAAATTGTTTGAGTATTTTTCACTTCAATCGTTCTGAATAATTTGTTGGAACTGTACCACTAAGTATTTGATAGATGCCACTTGGAACAAGTCCGAAACACAGAGGAATACTTTTGGTCTATACTGCAGTCCTTGTTTTGAGATGATCCTGGATCTGTCAAAATGTTAGAATGTGTCTTGGCCTGCTGGATAGTATATGGTCAACACTTGTGAAAATATTTTCTGCTAACTTATGTAGATTCGGATATTTCACTTTACTCCGTCATGTGTAGCAATTCTACTATGCCAATAGCTTAGAACTGTTTAATACTTGAATTTTCTGTTTTAGAAGCTACCGTTGATTCTGACAATAAAGCATAGTGACTGCTTATGAGTCCAGTGGTAATTGATGCATTAAAATACTAACTAGTAAGTACCAACAGGCTTTGGCATGCATACTAATGTTATGTTGCCTTGTACCTTCGTGAGGCTTTCTTTGACCAAGTCCATGCTATCAATATAAAATGATCTGTTGGACATTAGGGAGTAAATATCTTCTAAGAAAAGCCTATTAGTGTAAATGATATTTATCTGGTTCTTCCATTCTAGGGTCGTTTGTTTGTAAACCATGTGGTGCATCGGACATATTAATTCCTCCAAAGGTAGAGACATGTTAATGTTGTATTTAGGGAATCATGTGTCATTATTTGGTGCACTGTTAGTTTTATCTTGATCAAGGAACCTTCAAACCCCCAAAGTTTCTATGTTCAAAAAACATCTGTTGTAAGTTGGTAACTGGGAGGAACTCAGTTGTATTGAAGAAAATCTATTGTATTTGTCGGCTTTGACATCTTTCGGAATGACAATATTTGGTTGGTGTCATGCTTGGGCATTCTAACTCCATTGTGCATGTTGCACTGCCACCCACTGTAGAGATTAATATATATCTTGCATTGCTCTTTCGATTTTCAGGTAGAAGAGGAGAGGACAGAGTCCCTTTAGATTGGGATACCCGACTGAGAATAGCTATTGGAGCAGCAAAAGGAATTGTTCATATACATACAGAGAATGGTGGGAAGCTTGTCCACGGAAACGTCAAAGCCTCAAACATCTTTGTAAACTCGCAACAGTACGGTTGTGTTTCTGATGTTGGCCTGGCAACTATAATGAGCTCACTAGCCCCCCCAGTCGCCCGTGCTGCTGGTTACCGAGCCCCAGAAGTGACAGACACCAGGAAAGCAGGGCAGGCAGCTGATGTCTACAGTTTTGGGGTTGTGTTACTGGAACTCCTCACTGGAAAATCCCCTATCCATACTACTGCTGGTGATGAGATTGTCCACTTGGTCAGATGGGTGCATTCAGTTGTCCGAGAGGAGTGGACAGCAGAAGTGTTTGACATAGAGCTCATGAGGTATCTAAATATAGAGGAAGAAATGGTAGAGATGTTACAGATTGCCATGTCTTGTGTGGTAAGGATGCCTGATCAAAGACCTAAAATGCTGGATGTAGTGAAGATGATAGAAAGTGTCCGCCGGAATGATAATGAGAATCGACCATCGTCTGGAAACAGATCTGAAAGCTCAACACCACCACCGGTGGTTGGAACAGAACATCCAACATCACAATGAGTGAACCATTTGCCATTTTTCCCATCTAGTGATGTATTTCATTTCATCTCAAAATGTCGTTTTGCTCCAGTGAATGAACAAATTTGTTTCAATTTTTTTTTTTTCTACTTTATCCCATTTAGGAAGAGCTAGGTCATGTATCAATGTAGTAGTGACTTTAATTCTGGAAATGGCATTTCAAATATGCTTTTTGGTACTTGACACTCTCTCTCTCTCTCTCTCTCTCTCTCTCTCTCTCTCTCTCTCTCTCTCTCTCTCTCTCTCTCTCTCACACACACACACACGTATTAAAAGGAGAACGCAGAAAAAACATATTTTGCTTGAATGGATGCATGGCATAATCATTCCAAAGATGCTATACAGATCTTTGTGTCATAAAAACTGACTGCAAGAATAACTTCCTGATGTACTAGCTCTGCATGGGTCCTACTGTGTTTTCCTAAAGGATGCAATGCAACTGTTTGTACAACAGTTTTTCACAAAATCTGTCTTGCAAATTGATTATTACATTCTTCCACTCCAGTTAATGTATAGAAGGGTGTTTTTGTAAAAACCCTTTCTATCTCGAGCATCACTTATTTTTCCCCAGGCAACTTACAGCGGAGGGCATCATGATCTACAAGCATAGATTGGACATTTATTTGGCCATATTCTGCTATTGCACGTGAAGTCTTCAGAGCTGTTTGATGCAGGCAAAAGCTCATCAGAATGTGAAAGATACTGGAGGGAAAAATCTAACACAACAACAAAATCTAAAAGTTGTGTTTGCTTGTGCTCAACCTTTCAAATGAGTTGTGCAAAGATTCTAATTTCCAACGCCTTTGGTAGTATGGAAAAGCAGTGTCCATAATCCACAAGTAAAAAAGATACATTTCGAATTAGGGTTTTGCTCAAGCATAATCTCCTGGTTTCCATTTACAAGATATCTTTTTGGGAAAATTTATACGAGGGTATGTTTGGATAGAAACAATGATTTTTTATTTTGATAATATGGTTACTTTGGTTAGAAAAATGTTGAAAGAGATGCTGGATACAATGTGTTTGAAAATACTTGGTACAGTGTTGTACTATTATGACCTTGAAAATTATTAGGTACAATGGATGGGATTTCATTCTATTCTTTTTTCATGCTAAGATTATAATGAAGAAAGTCTAACTATAAAGATCAATTTTCATAGATTTGAAATCTAACATTCCAAATGGAGTCTTACAAGAATATTGGGGATAAATAAAAATATATATATAGGTGGTTTTGATGTGGTCAAATTTTGGGTTGGAATCGAGATTTGTCATGTCACTGTCATGACTAAGATACATATGCAATACAACCTATTTCTTAACAATTTCTAAGATGCATCTTATCCTTTGACTAGAATTTAAGACTAGAATTTACTTATTTTTAAGACTAAATCAATTGCCTAGCCGTCCTTATTGAAAAAATAACTTGATTCTCTAACGATGTTCTCATATTGGCCTTAACACGTAGAAAAATTTAGGTGATCATTTTAACTATATTATAATGTGAGTGTTACACATTAAATTATTAATCTTTAGTAACAAAATAATCTTACATTTTAACTATGATTACCTAAAACTTAATACAATAACACATGTTGTTAACAAATGATAAGATTTTTTATTTTCTTTTGTCTAAAACAAAGGACAGATTCGAACATAGAAATCACTCCTTTTTCTTTTTTTCTCCATTCTACAATAATCCATGGTCAATAGAATGGCACACTTTGATTGGAGGGATGTGTGGAGCAAAATTACAGTCTTGTCCCCTCCTCTTTCCCTAGGTATAATATATAAACTCATTTTGAGTGGTTGTTCAAGCGCTACCACCTTCTCAATAAACGCAAAAGATTAAAAGGAAAAAAAACATAAAAACTAAATCAATAATAAAGCAGGAGGGTCTCTCAGGTCAAGGTACTCTCTCTACCATCTCTCTGCTACTTCCACATAAGAAATGAAATTTGGGTTTTCTTTGTTGTGTGTGTGAATTTGTTAGATTGAGGTCAGGTTCATCTAGGGTTTGGTTTGTTTGTTTGTTTGTGTGCTTGTGAAGGTGATGGCGTCGAAACGGATCCTGAAGGAGCTGAAGGACCTCCAGAAAGATCCTCCTACTTCATGCAGCGCTGGTATTTTCCATTTCCAAACCCGATCCGTTTCCTCTTCTTTTTCATGTTGATTCTGCTAAAGTTTTAATTTTGTGTTTTTGGGTAAGAATTGATGTAGGAGTTTGTTGATTGCCTCCTCTTTGGAGATTTTGGCTCATGTGTACCATCTGATTTGAGCTTCCATCTATGCTTATTTTTTGAAATTTGCTTTTTTTTTTAACCCAGACCAGGAAATCTGTGCAAAGCTGCAGTCTTGCACCGATTTGGTGGTCATATCAATTTTGTATTATTGTTCTCATGCCAAATTAGGTGTTTGTCTCATAATCGAATGGAATTGCATTATTTTTAAGTTGGTCAACTGAATTTCATCGTTAAGAACCATCAGAGAATATGAAAGAAAATAGTGAATGATATGGGATACTGAAGGTGTTATTATGTGGCACTTGTTACCCATACCCATTTCCCTGCCCTAATTAAATGGCAATAGACCTCCTACCTAGCATCTCGGGTATAAATGGGTAATTACCCTTTCAACTCTTTGTTAAATGGTCTGGGTTGTGGGGACCTGTAATGACCCATTGAATCCTCAGAAAGAAAAGCTTTTAATTTTACACCTGGTTATCTGTATATCTGCGGCGGTTGGGACTGATTTTTGTCATTCTGAGTCTTCTATGATTTTGAGGGCTGAGTAGACATTAAGGTGTTAAAGGGAGGTTGGGGCAGTCAAAGAAGTTGGCTGGTAATTTGAAGTTGGAACAATGTTACCCTTTGGTACAGCTGTTGTATTGTTTTAAATGTTGTGAATGTCTGCCAGGGTGGGTGGTTGAGTATTGTTTCAGGGTTTCTTTGGTTGAGTATTGTTTCAGGGTTTCTTTCTTGACGCTTATGTCAATAGATTCTCTGAAATAGCATTGCTCTGCAAGTGAAGGATCAAATGCTTTCTCTTTCTTCTTTTAATATATTTCCCCTTTGGAACACTGTCTACCCCATTGAGTGAATTATAGTATCTTGAGCTGGATATTTCCATAATGGACCTACACCTACCCACCCTTAAAATTGGATTAGATGGCTATTGGCATTAGATATAAGTGGCAAATAAATGGCAGTTCTTAGTCTATCTAGTTTATGACCCACCCTAAACTGACTCATTTGCCACCTTTGGTGCCATAAATGCTATATTATTTTGCTGGTAATTTGAAGATTACCATTACTTTGTCTTATATATGGATATCTTATAAATGATATACATTTGTTTTTGAGTTTTGAATAACTCAACTGTGGTTGGAATCTTTTTGTCATCATAATCACGCCATCCTGGATTTTAATACCCTTAATGGCTGCAAAAGTTCATACTTTTGGAAGAATATGAAGTCACTCATTTATAGCCACAGCAGTCTATCTACTGTGTGCAATAAATCTATGTGCAAGTGCAACCCTTCAAATCTTTTAGGCAATTGGAACTTTTATGTATCAAATTTTCTCAATGAATTGGTAATTTTTGGCTGCTTTTTCTTTTCAGGAGAAATTTACACAATGAAACTATTCTGATAAATGACTCTAACGTCATTCTTCTCAGCAGATATTCAATTTGATTGTCTTTGCTCTAATGTATATCTTTAGGGCCAGTTGCAGAAGACATGTTCCACTGGCAGGCGACAATAATGGGTCCTGCTGACAGTCCATATGCAGGTGGAGTGTTCCTTGTCACTATACATTTTCCTCCAGACTATCCTTTTAAACCACCCAAGGTACTTGCTAGCCTTCTATAAATTTGGCATCAAATTGGTCTTCTGTTGCATGGAAGTTCCTTTCTTTATTGCTTTCATGAGAGAGAGAGAGAGGCGCATATTGTCTTGTGGCCTATCACACCTATGTTTGATGTCAAATGTATTTTCAGACTCCCGAGGGAGTTAATAACATTGTGATAGTAGAAATTGACAATTATAACTTTTCTAGCTTATTTAGCAATGAAGTAATATGGTGTTCCTGAAGTTTAAAAATCCCAAATTTTAACAAATGACTAGGAAATACTGAACTTTTGCATATTGTTTGTTTTCAAGATCTTTTCCATGTAAAATTGGCACGACACACTGAAGATTTTGTTGTCCAACTTTTCATTCATTCATTACTTTTTGCTACTTATATGATGTTTTGTGCAGGTTGCATTCAGGACAAAGGTGTTTCACCCTAATATCAACAGCAATGGTAGCATTTGCCTTGACATTTTGAAAGAACAGTGGAGCCCTGCCCTGACCATATCCAAGGTAAATGCTTAATTCCTAAACAGGAATAGTTTTTTCATAAATTTTGAGCGTTCTGTAGAAACTTGTTTCCCCTATTGGGATTCTACATATGATTCCATTTTATGTCTGTAATTTCGGATGCGTCGATACAGGAAATGCTAATCAATAGGGCTGAAACTCGGGTTTTTACATACAGGAAATGCAATTGTATTACTCTGAAGTTTTACAAGTTAAGATTTGCACGAAAGATAAAGAGCTCTATGCAATGAAACAGCATACAATCCTTTATTGACCAAAATGATTTGCTTTTCTTTATAAAAAGAAAAATAACAAATTATCATCTGTGCTAATTGTTGTGTCCAAGAAATTTTCCATAGTGAAGTACTGATTGATCTTGTGGATCCCATTGCATTTTGCAACTGTTATGATGCTGTATACTGAAAATGAAACATGGTTGAATCAATTGTGCCATATTCATTGAAACCTGGTTTGACTGGGAAATTTTGGTGCTGTTATAGTTGATGCAATGTTATGTTATTTGTGTTACTGAAGCATGGGAACTGGTTTCACTTTATTTTCAGGTATTGCTTTCAATCTGTTCACTGTTGACAGACCCCAACCCTGATGACCCTTTGGTTCCGGAGATTGCCCATATGTACAAGACTGACAAGAACAAGTACGAGACCACCGCAAGGAGCTGGACTCAGAAGTATGCTATGGGTTAGTGTGAGCTGCTAGGACTGTGAGAGGAGGGCTTTCTGTCCCTGTGGCATTGATCTGGTGATCAGATGTATGAATGGTGTGATCTGTTCCTCACATAAGTGGACCAATAGGGAGAGTATTCTGCCCTCGGAACGCAATTGCTTTGAATTGTTAATTTGTTATGCAATATTTATATATAAGACATTGAAACCCATCTTATCTCTCTCTCTCTCTCTCTCGTGTCTGAAAGCCCTTAACAACCCAAAAGAAAATGAAATTTGACCCACAAAGTCGAGATAGATATGCCATTGAAAACACGTTAAGAGTATGAACCCACATGATAATTGCATCACTTTATGCGCATATTAGATAAACCCATGATATCTTGGGGATTTTAGAGAATGGATTGTGTAACTGGCCAGGGCGGGGGGTCCTTTTTTTTTTTTTGGTTTGGGGCCAGGTTTTTGTAGTTCGTGTTGAGCTGATTATCTGTGTAAAGGGTTTGGCTAGGTTAGGTTGTATATCATGTGTATTGAATTTGGTTGAATCTGGCAATAGTGCAAAAGAATTTTTCATCTGAACCAATAAATTTTTAATGGAACTAAAAAGAAGACACGGAATAAAATTGGGAAGAAAAAGTAGCCCAGTTGTATGCAGCCATATGGGCCATCACCATTAACATCAACCTGTCACACTTGTGTCTTGACACATGGATTCATTTCCCATCAGTATAAATGGGTTGGGCCCAAAAAATCTAGTTTGAAGTGAGAGGGTGAGTCTTTCTTGTGAATTGATAAAGAATTAGAACTAGTCTAGGTATCCTGCAAGAGGCTTGTAGCTAAAGTAGTTATGAGCATATACCCATACACGTGAGGTTGTAAGTTAGATATCCGATTTTCCCTTGTAATTATTTTAGGATTAACTTAGGTTTCTACTTCTTTAGTTTTCTACAGACCAAATCATATAAAGGGAACATTTACAAGTCACAACCCTCTTTAGATTTGTTGGCTACTAAAATGAAGTTAAAAGAAATTGGCAAAACACTTGCATGTTTATCTCATAGCAGTTGATGGTGTGTGATGGGTGATGATGATGATATATGATTCATATATATGCAGGAAGAAGGAAAAAACTGTTTAGAAGGGGGGTGGGCTCACTGGGGCTACTGGGCTTCCATTTCTGTGTGGCCTTTCAACTTCAAGCACTCTGAGTTTTGAGGTCCCCTTTAAGTTTCCTGGATCCTGCAAAATCTAAGACAAAGAAGTGAGGAGGAGGAGGAGGCCTAAGCCTAACAATGACAGAAGAGCAAAAACCCAAGTGGCAGTACAAGTAGAATGGTAAAATCTTCTTCATGAAGAAAAAAACACCCAAAAAAGAGTCAAAATCTTGTTAATTAATGATCCAAAATCTAACCTTAGCTCCCCCACACCCTTTTTTTTGTTCCCTGTGGTCAGCATCAGAACAAGTGGATGAATAAAACATCAGTCAAATTGTAAAAAATTTGTCAGCACATTATCAACATGTTGCATGTCAATATTTGGATATCAAATCCCAAACAAACAGAAGATGACAATTCTGTCATTTGGGAAAAAATGTAGGGCTACAATCCTAGGGCATAGTCCTACGTAACAGGACCTAACCCTTACCCTTGTTTTCTAACCCTAGTCTTTTTCCCATTTTGAACATGGTAAATATAAATTACCAATATAAAACTGAATTCAAGGTCTTTAGGGCATGCCCTACAAGTTGGTTCTATGGGGCTAGAGCCTAGGGCCAAGGGCCCTAGAGAGAGAGAGAGAGATACTTGTTCTCCTCACGTCTCGCTTTCTTTACTCAGATAGTGTTGTTGTTGTTGTTGTGTCTGTGGCTTTGGCCTTTAGGTAGGCTTTTTTCACCTCTTGTGTCGTTGAAAAGCCATTTTATGCTTCCACATGAGCCTTTATTTTAAATCAAAAGATATAATTTTTGCTTTATTGTTATTAGGTTCGAATTAATTGATTCAAAGTCAAAACATTAGAGACAGCTTTGAAGAACATCAGCCCATCTATCTAGGGGAACCTCTTGGGTGGTGCCAGCTCTCACCGGAATAAAGAACTTCTTCATGCGAATGAATGTGGGTTAGGTTAGTTAGTTAGTTAGGGGTAGTGTGTTTCGCTTTCTTATACTCAAGTTCGAATTCTCCTCCTTATATATTAAATTTATTTAGAGTAATTTATACAAGTTGTATTCTTGAAATTGTCATGCATGTTCATATTTACATCATATGTTTAAACAAGAATTAACTTCATCAGTTTTTGAATTGATAATCTGACAATATTGTCTACGTAAACCACACGAACTCAAGAATCTACTAGCCGGAAACTATGGAGTCAATAACCATGGCCTGTTAACCCTTGTAATTAAATAAGGTTTTGTTCCCCATAAAAACATAAAACAAAAAGCAAAATGAAGCTTAGTTAGTTGTATCTTAGTGGCACAGAGATATCATGTTTTTCTATGTCTAAAACACCATTCTATTTGGAGTAGTTAATTCGAATTGCACGTGGAAAGCTTAACGCAGAAAAGAAAAAACAAATCCAAATTAATGAATTATCCCCCGGCAAATGGGTCGTGACTCGTGCTTAGGAGTTGGAAAGGACCCTGGCCCCAGAAAATCAGGCCCCTAATTCCTACTTTCATATTTACATCATATGTTTAAACAAGAATTAACTTCATCAGTTTTTGAATTGATAATCTGACAACATTGTCTACGTAAACCATACGAACTCAAGAATCTACTAGCCGGAAACTATGGAGTCAATAACCATGGCCTGTTAACCCTTGTAATTAAATAAGGTTTTGTTCCCCATAAAAACATAAAACAAAAAGCAAAATGAAGCTTAGTTAGTTGTATCTTAGTGGCACAGAGATATCATGTTTTTCTATGTCTAAAACACCATTCTATTTGGAGTAGTTAATTCGAATTGCACGTGGAAAGCTTAACGCAGAAAAGAAAAAACAAATCCAAATTAATGAATTATCCCCCGGCAAATGGGTCGTGACTCGTGCTTAGGAGTTGGAAAGGACCCTGGCCCCAGAAAATCAGGCCCCTAATTCCTACTTTAATCACAATTAGTTTTCTACTTTTAAAATTAAATTATTAGTGTACTTTTGAGGGATTATTATTGTCTCTACTGAGGACAAGAGTGACTATTACAAGCTGCTGACCCCCACTCAAATATATGGGATGCGGCCATTGTCGAGCTTGGTCTCCATTTCATTAGAAACTCTTAGCAGTTTCTGAAGTGGACTTCAACCAAAGTTTGGTTTAAATAATGTTGAGATGTTAATGGCTCTTTTAATCATTTGTTGATTGGAGTCTAATCATTTAATCATGTCGTAATGTTGATTGTACCTTCGATTGTTAATCGCTTTCGAATCCCAAATTAATCATGTTTGCTTTAAGACAACACCCAAAGCCAATTAGTATGATATCCCTCAATTTTTTTTCCGCCACATTACAATAATCAAAGTATGAGTCTTAAGCGTAATATATATTAATATTGCAATCACATTATTATTCTTTCTCGAGCTTTGCTTTGAAATATCGTTGCATATTAGTTTGAGAATATTGGATACTTTCCTGTCACGCGGTGGCAGAATAAGTGTTATATATCATGTAGTTAAAATTTGTAACGTGTTATAAGTTTCTTTTTCTTCATAAAACAGTACATGCAATGCATTAAAGAGGCTTCATTATTGTGTTTGAAATCATTAGAATAGGTTAGCTATAGTACTACCAAACATGTCGTGCATTATAAAAACATGCCCAATAATCAAAATAGCAAATAATCATACACAACTTGCATTTGAAGGCAACAATTTGCCTTATCGCTTGAATTAATACTCTTTTTATGCATAAAGTGACGGTCGGATGGGTGGTCCAAAAGTGAAGTTTGGTGAGTCTTTGAACCTAAACCCATAGAAACACATTAAACAAGGGTTTAACATTCCAAGCGTTATTTTGTTCCCAAATGAACCCTTTAAACCCTCAATTTCAGGGTTTCCAAATTGGAATTACTTTTCATAAAACAACAATTTCATACTTCCTCCTTTGGAAATTGGAAATTATAAAAATTATATTTTAAAAAAACAATCAGGGAAGCCACGTCACGATCACATGGCAAAAGTTGATGTTCACATATCGGTTTGAAACGGTGAGCTATCGGCTGAGGCTATTAAATACTTGCCGGTAATTCACATGGCAAAAGTCTTATTTTATTTTCTAAACTAAATCTTACTTTGAGACAACAACAACAACAAAAAACTAAATCTTACTTTTTGGTTAAATTAAATACAAATATGAAAAATACCCAAGTGAAAGTCCAATTTCTTCATGAGAGTCCTTTTCACTCTATCTCACATTATTGAACTCTTTGGTGAGTTGGTTGTTTATAGTTTCTTTAAGTTAATTGCATCAACTCTTTGTGAATTAGGTGTTTGTTTGTTTGTAGTCTAGTTTTTACTTGTGAGAGTTACAAGTTGTAGTTGTATTGGTAGTTTTAGGCATTGCAATTCATATCTGGCTTGTTCGGGCTTGCGGCTTTTATACTGAAATTTCTTTGGCCTTATGAGGCTATTAGTGGAGATGCCCATTGTGCGCTTGATGTTGCCATTGTGTTTTTATGTATCTAGATTAACCATGCGTGGTTACTATGCTTCCATCTTTGTATTCCTTTGTGGGTATTTATACTGGCCCTTGTGGTTTATGGTCTTTGTGCTTAACTTATGAATACAATTATAGTTTTTCTCTTAAAAAAACACCCCCTCATAAACAAAAATATAATCCACAATATACGAATTTAAAGCTAATTAATTTTGTATATATGGAAGTAGATGACAATAAAAAAAAGGTTAGGAGAGTATAATTCATCCAATGTTTCATGAAGTTAATATGGTAGCTGGCAAAAAAGGAACAAACCTTTGTACCCTATTAATTTGTAATTACAAAAACAAAATTTTCTCTTTGGGACTTGGGAGACTTTGGGAGACTCTTTGGGAGACTTTGGGAGTTGGGAGGAGGAGGAGGAGGAGGAGAAGAGAGTTGGATCTTTCTCTCATGTTTCATAAACACCATGATTGTCGAATAGTAATAACTCAAACTCAAGACAAGTTCATCTAGGTTTTAGTGATAATTAATTGACTTGTATAAGAACATAGGGATACGGTTAATTCGCAATGGACCAAATAAACCAATAATTAATCCCACTTAAACCCATAAACACAACAATTAATTATTACTTGGAGCTCTCTCTATTTTTGTGGCTCAAAAGAGTGCACATCTAGGAGACGATGCTAATTGACTTCTTTCTTAACATAAGGTTAGAAAACCGCACAAATTGCAAATAAGAAAATGTTTGAAAGTTAGTGGTTTGAGAAAGCCAAACATTTAAACATTAATATTATGATTTGTTATATACTCAGACACATGACCTCTCTCTCTCTCTCTCTCTCATGTATTTGTCGAATCCCATGTAGTCTTTGCTAATTGTTTGTTATCTATGGTTTCACACGGCTACTAATTAAGCATGGCAGATTTCAAGAAGAGAAATCCACTACTTTGAGTTTTGTTTTTGTTTTTATTATTTTTGAGAATCCAAATGCTAAAGAAAATCCCATTTTCTTCTTATGCATCCATTGGATCTCAAACACACAAGTTTCAATATATATATATATATACAAATAAAGCTGGTATGAGTTAGTTGTAGTTGTATTTGTAATTTTGGACGTTGTATTTCATGTTTGATTTGCTCAGACGTGTGACTGTTACGTTGAAATGTATTTGGTTTTTTAGGGCTATTAGTAGAGATATGGACTAATCCTTTAAAGGACTAACCCTGGCGTATCCTCCTATATATGGACTAATCCTTTACGGTTCATGTACATCCATCTTTGTATTAGCTCTTTATGACTATTTGTGCTCAACTATTGAATACAATTATCACTAATTTTTATTATAAAAAAAACCTGATATGAGTTTTGATTTTTATTTAGCATGAACCTAAGTTCAAATTTTAGGAAAGGTTTCACTTTCTCTTTACTCTCATAAACACAAATATAGATAAAATTTTTTTATACATGAATTTGATTTGGTTATATTTATTATAATTTTTTCAAAAATTTTGTGTCTATATTGTTGAGACAAAGTTTGTGATTGTTTTGCTTAGGTAGCTAAATTCCCAATGTTGTTGGCATTCTTTATTTTAGGTGCATTCCAAATTTGCCCGTATTCAATTATAAATAGTCATTAGCACCCACTAATTTTGTTTTTTGTTGATGATTGTAACAATTAACGTTGCCATCCATCATAATTGGAAGAGACTAGTACATCAATACAAGTGTAAGCACTAGCAGCTGAGAAATAATCCAAATTTGGTTATACAACAAAGCGGCAAATCATTGCAAATTGTCGAACTCACATTCCATTCTCATGTTAAAATAAAGGTGTATTGACAAGAGCCTAGCATGGTTGTGAAGGCCCCAACTACCAAATTATTGGTCACATCTAACAAAGAAACCGAGAGAAGATTAAGATTTAACGTGTTAAACTTACGTACATAATTATTGTCATACTATAAATCATAAGATGATAACTATATAGTATGATCAATGAATATATCATATTTGAAATGAATAATATATTAACACAATATGTTAAATCGTCAACATAAAAACGTATGCACAATTTATCAAGTCGTAAGGATATCTAATAAATCTCCCTATCTTAACTTTTTAGCCAATTTGAGAAGGTTGTTGACAAACATTGTTTATCAACTAGCTGCTCAAAGGGTTGCTCATTTTGGAGCCATTTTTGACTCTCCAAAACAAAGAGTAAGAAAAATGAGCATATCTATGCAGGGTTCTTCGAATTTATACGAAATTGGCTGAAATAGAGAAAATTGTTCAGATAACACTTGAAAAGTGATTATCCAAGATAGTTTTCTAATTACTTGTGCTAAAATCTAGATAGAAGAACACAAACAACACAAAAAGAAAAAAACAAATGCTAAAGAGTTGAAAACAAAAACAAAAACTCAATTAGAAGAAAGACAGCAAGTTGAGTGCCATATTCGTGTGTGACCAAATAACTAAAAAGAAATTAAAATAATATCAAATGCTTTTAAATCAAGTGGACAATTTTACGAAAGAAACAAGCAGGACGGCTTCGGTTGTCTGACACGTTGTTCGAGGACTGGTTAGGCTAAAAGATGGGCTGCCTGGCCCATTCTCTCACTTCTTCTTTTCAGCCCAATTGTGTAGTAGGTTAAATTACTTTGCTGCCCTTGTATTCCCGAGTAATGTTTCATGTATCATATTTACCGTACTTATTTTTCACATAAGTATATTAGTTGGTTCACCTCTATGAATTTTTTTTTTTATAAAAAATATTGTGTACCAGGTAAATCGCACCGAACTTTCATACAAAAATGTTGAACAAGCGCATTCAATGATGTTATTTGAACATGACACACTTGTTGTGATGAGTCTTTCAGTTCTTTTCTTTTGTGTGTGTTTATTTTAAGCAAAGTTTTTGACATAGCCAAGGGCATTTCATGGCCTACATTCTCAATCGAAGGTAATGTTGCTACAAAAAGTAAGGAGAAATAGTCAAGTAAATAATGGATGTGGGAAAACCATATGCGATTATTTTGGAAATTTAGTGGCCCAAATAAGAGGCAGAGGGGTGCTTCACCCTATTTTAATTACGAGAAATAAAATAGAGATTAGGGGAAGGAAGGGGATTATCAATCATTTTCTTCGTTAAGTGGGAGAGAGGTGAGAAGCATGTAGAACATGAGGAAACAAATTGTCACGAGTCTGACAGGTTTCATAAATATGTATGGTGTGTTAATAATGGCCTAACTTCTCATAGAAAATGACACTACTTGTTTATTGTAATCACCTAATATTGTCATGTTATAATAAATAAAACTTAAAACATGAACACTAACTAGAAAATTAGCAAGTAGCTCAATGTTGAAGTCATTCGAGATAATCTCTACTCCATAATGGACATGTCCTGCCAACGGGTCCATAGCTCAATTAATAGAGCATTTTTCTGTAAATTTGTGATCTCAAGTTCAAACCCCAATGACACTTCCCCCTATCCTCTTTCCAAACTTTGACATAGAAAAACAACTTATCTAATCGGACTCCAATCCATCATTGTCGATTTAGGTTACGAATGTCAATGTGTACGAATTTTTTACTCAGGTATTCTCGCATTATTAACTTACTATCACTCGGATGGATGTCGGTAATTATTTAAAACAGATCACTAAGTAAGAAATTACAATGTTCTCTTACTCTTTAATTTGCTCACATTGAATACCACCTCCTCCTGCTATTGCCCTAATAAAACCATTCATATCCGTTTCAAGCATAAAACGAGTGGAGCAAAAACACCATCTTTATGATCCAACGCCTTACATGTTAAATGCATCATCCTACTAAATTTCTCAATAAATAAATAAATAAATAAATAAAAACGCTTCTGTTTCCCTGAAAATGAAATTCTCATCTACTTGTGTACCAAGCAACAATGATGATGTCGTCCGTACAACAGTCATCGGCTCCGTCCAATCACATCACGAAACGTGTCAACATAACGATTCAAAACCAAAACCGTCTTTCCGGTGGTGAGGTAGACAGAGAGAAAAAGGCTGGAGGGCATGCATGGTTAAGGAGATAAAAACACACTTATAAAAAATGGGCCTCACAGTCGAGGTTGCCTGCCACGTTACACTTAGCTGTAAAAATATACAAAAGGATAAGGTTAAAATTGAAATGGTAAAATTTAAAATTTAAAACCAGTACACTCTCTCCACATCTTCATAACACCAGTTTTGTGATTTACTCCGATAATGACGAAAACATCCCGACTGCTGATTTCCGTAACGGAAGGTTAACTAGTAATTATCATCCACTCAGTGGGTAATTAATGTTATTAATTAATCTTTTCTTCAGTCAAAGTAGAACCCTATGTGTCTTCTCACGTGACCAGAATCCCAAATTCCAAGATTAATTTTTAATTTTTTTTCCCAGCTGCTGAGTCAGCTCCGGGCCCCACACCTGACCTTTCCCTTTCCTCCCCTCCCATTGGATCTTCATCTCTTACCGGGGCCAACCCGCCACGTGTCACTCTCCCCTGCCCGAATTATGCGGCGCCTAGTAAAATATCTCGGAGCCTCGGCGGACTCTCTCCCGGTGGGTCCTGGCCCCACACCATTCGTGTTTTTTTTATAAAAAAAAATCTTTAAAGCAAAATTCAAACCAAAACAAAAATTGTAAATTGTAATTTTTTTGGGAAAAAGAAAAAGATTTTGGAAATTTAAAGATGGCTCTTAAACCGGGTTTATCGATTACGGCTGTTGGGATCCTATAAAGTAGGTAGTTTTGGTATCCAGCGAAACTGTGCTTCTTTCTCTCTGCGTCTATTATCTCTCTCTACCTCCTCACTCTCATTCCACACTCTCTCTCTCTCTCTTTAGCTCCCTCATTCCTCACTACTCCCACCACCACTCTCAAAGACTCTCTCAGTTTTTGCTTCTTGCTTTTAAAGGCCCGATTCCGATTCCCTTCCCCTTTCCGGTTAAAGCTTTGCTCCACTCACCCCCCCATCCTTCTTTTTGGCTTTCAAAGCTTTGCTTTTTTTCCCCTTCAAAAATTTGCCATTCTTTTTTCCGTACCGTTTGCTAAGGTCCAGAGCTCCACGCTCGCTCTCTCCACTTTTTTCTTCTTTCGGGCGAAACTTTCCGTGAAATTTCTCGTCCTTTGATGACACTTTTTTAGGTGTTTTCTCTCCGTTTCAAGCACAAGCAGCTTCTCTTTCACGCTTCTTCCTTCTCTCTGTGTCTTTCTCTCTTTTTCTCACTCTTTATTCTCTTCACCTCGTGTGCTCTGCGAGAATCTCCCTCTTTTTTCCTTTCTTCTTCTTCTGCGGCCTCTATTTTAATCTCCCGCCACCGACTCACTCACTCACTCAACTCGCTTTCAATGCGAATCAGCTGCTGGAAGACTCTCAAATACTAATTTGCTTTGTTACTTGAACTATGAATCCGGCTGTTAAGTACACGCAGCACCGCAGCCACACGAAGCTGGTGGCGAATTCGGCGGCTGAGTTTGAATCGGTGAGGCCCAGAGTTGTACGGATATCTGTCACCGACGGAGATGCCACCGACTCATCCAGCGACGACGAACCGGGCGGTTCGTCGTC